TCTGTGAAAATGTGAAAGTGCACAGGTGTTCAGAACAACAGTCAATCAGGTAGCACAGTATTGTCCAGAAGTAATGTAGGCCACTGAGCAACACAGTATGTCCACTAACTGTACTGTGAACATGGATGTATACTTACTTGCACATACTCGTAACGTAGGTCTTTGTGTCGCGCAGAGTTGCGCTCAAAGGGAACCCTATAGACCTGTTTCATCCGCATCTTTTGGCGCCGGAGAACTCGGTCTATTGTGGCCAAGCTGACATCATCAATGCTCTCAAAGTTGACATTATCGGCAATGACTTTGTCTCTGATCTCCCGGAGTCTGATGAGGTTGTTCTCACGAACCATATCCACAATGCGGGTTTCTTGTGCCGCTGTAAATATGGCAACCCTCCCACCTCTATGTGGCATTCTTTCAACTCTAAAGAAAGAAACATGTGTTGTCAGTTTTACAATACAGTAACAACTGATTTGAAACCAATAGACTACTTTCACAGGCTTGTAAAATTGTATTGTGACAAAGAAAGCAATAGAGTACAATACCTGTTGTGTTGTCTGAATGCCCTGATAATGGTGGCCACGGTGAACCTACTCAGGTTTGGACGGACTCGTAGTCCTGCTTCAGCCATTGTCATGCCATGGACAATGACATGGTCAATGACTGTTGCTCGCATCTCGTCCGTAATGATGGTGCGAGGTTGTCTTGCTCTCCCTCCTGGACCTTCTCCTCTCCCTTGTTGGCCTGCTCCTCTTCCTCCTCTGATTTGAACTCCTCTCCCTTGTTGGCCTGCTCCTCTTCCTCCTCTGATTTGAACTCCTCTTCCTCGTTGGCCTGCTCCTCTTCTTCCATGGCCAGCTCTTCTCCCTCCTCTGACTCGAATTCCTCTTCCCCTGACTGCCTTCATCCATTGTGTTTGTTTGGAATCTTCAGCAAACTGTGCACTCTGAACTTGCTTTTGTACATGTGGTCACAGCATTGCTAGTGTTATAGGGCTAGCTTCTGTACCTTAGGGCAGTTCTGCAGATTCTGCATTAAGTTGGATTAAGTAACTGTTTTTGTTTTAGCATGTAAAAATGGCTTTGGGCAGCTGGTGATAATTTGAGCTTTTTTTTTTGCTGTATTTTGGCATTCTCAGACCTCTCATTTGTGGTTTCCTCGCCTGTGTAAGTTTGCTGGCTCTGACCCTGGACTGTTTTACGTAGTTCTCTGTATTGTTTTGTTGTTTGTGCTCTTATTAAAGAGACAGTGTTTTACTTATCCTTGTCCGGCAATATAATTGAGTTCACCCCTCGACATTATTGGCAGCTTCACGCGCCAATTCCTGACAATGACAATATAATAAATGTGTTCTGATTGTGCTCGGTGTACACTGGGTGTGCTTGTGTGACTCGGGCATTTTTATTCAAAAATAATAGTGTCTCCACAGTGAATGGTTTTAAATGATTTCACTTTATTGACACAACTTCCCCAGCTTTGGAGAACACCCTTTCACAAGGCACAGAAGATGCTGGTGTTGCCAGGAACTGTTTGGCCAGGTTGAACAGGTATGGGTACAGGGATTTGTGAGTCGTCCTGAGGGGTTCTGTGATCTGTCCAGAGGAGGAGCAGGCAGATATCACTGAACCTCCACAATGGCATCTGCAGTAGCGTTTTGAGATTTTCTGGCATCTTTGTCAAGAAGCTTCCACAGGTCAATGCCTGAAAATAAAACATTACAGAACATTTATAAAGCATTTGATTACATACAAATAAATATATAACTACAAATGTGATTAATGGCATACCCGTGGAAGCCGCAGAAGGTTCTGGCTGTGCTGGTGTTCATGATGTTGATGGTACATCGGGGGTGCATTTCGGATTAAGGCCGCGCACACTGAGCTCAACCGAATGCTGATGCAGCTGTCTGCCAGATTGTGAAAGCCAAGTGTTATAAATATAAACCGTGTTTAGCTTGTGTGACAGAGCGGCTCTGTCACTGACTGCATACACACACATCTCTCCACTGTGTCGGCAGCGGACACACACTACACTCACTTACCCGACGGACACATCATCCCGGTAACAGACTTGACAATAAGGCTTACATCTTGGAAATATAATTCACCTTATTTGATGGCACCAATTCAAAATGTTCCCACACCTGTGATTGTTTCCTTGATGGCTCCATGGCAAGGAAATCCAAAATGTGTTGACAAGAGGTAGGACAGAGAGCTGTTTCATCCATCTTAAATACATCTGTATGACTCCAATGCTTCAAAGCTCCACCTATCGAACCAAACAGGTCAGCTGATTCAATCTGAATGAAGCAGAAGTGGTTCGAATGTCATCAGTCACATGGTTTTTCCTGATTTGAAGCATGCTCCGGCACAGTGCTTCAGAAAACTATCCTTCCGAGTTTGAAGCAAGCTTCGGAGCCGTGGTATCAGGGGGAACATCACTATACATGACTTAACTTAGGGACAAATGTAGTGTTCTCACCTACTTTGTTACACTTCCATGATATTATTGTCAGTGCTACGCCACCTGTTGGAATTAATTTCACTACTTTGGGACTGTATGTGGTTGTGTGGGGGACGATGCAGTGACTACCAGTTGAAAGGGAGTGATGTTTCCACTACTTTGTGGTACTTAACGGACAGTAAAAAAAACTTGCATGACTGTTAATGCCTTCTTTCTGTAACATTTGAGAGAATTGTTGTAAGGCTGGAGAAGTAACTATGTCTGCATTATGCCAGTTAAAATATGGGGTTTCTCAATTACACACTTTGTTTAGTGTTGCACATCTCTTTTCATCGGTACATATACCATTGTTTATGATGAAATTAATTGGCATGAGAGTAGAGGATGCCGAAGATAGTGTTATGGAAACAGATGATTCGCTGTGGCGACCCCTAATGGGAGCAGCCGAAAGAAGAAGATATACCATTGTTTACCTACAGTATCTATGGAGGAGAAATTCAAATTAATTAATGTTGTCCACTTTCAACACAACACCAGCAACAGGAGTTGTGAGCATTCACAAACTATTATCTTGTTTTTAGGAAGAGGCTCTCTGGTTTTATCATTCTATAATAACTGCAGACTATTTGGAGTTACGGCATGCTCATTTCCAGCCATGTTGGTACATGTTTGATATGTCATCGTAGAGGGTGACATATCAAAATCCCTTCCTATCTTTCTTTGAGGAACATTGTTTTTAAACATTTCAATAATTTCTGACACATACTGTATGTTGGCAAACTGGTGGTCCTTGGCCCATCTTTGCTCCTAAAGGGCTCTGCCTTTCCTGGATGCCACTTTTGTACCAAATCATGATTGCAGTCACCTGTTGACATCATATGTTTCAAATGGAATCATAATTTCATCGTTTTACCTTTTGGAATGTGTTGCAGGCATCAGAATTGAAATGAGAGTTTATTTTGAATAAAGAATAAAACTGATGAGGTATTACATCAAATAATAAATAAAGATGTATTGGTGACAATGTAATACAGGACACAGATGATTTACACATCACTATTTTTTGTTTTAATTTTGATTTTACATACTGTACCAACCTTTACTGATTTGGGGGTGTATATTGACAATAAAAATGCCTTCAAACATGTTCCTGTTCTGTTTCAGGAAGATGTGGCCCAAAACCTGCCTTCTCCTCACCTCATCCATGTCTGTGTGTGTAAAAGGATTTGTGCTTTAGTAATTATTAGTAAATACATTTTGTACTGGATAGTCTGCATATTTTCTAAACCTAAATATTGGGTTAAAACTAAAATGTTACTCATTTTCACTCAAATAAATTTCCCAGTTACATTTATTTTTAAGTAAAGTCAACTTGTGTGGGTTGATTGCCATGCAATTGCAGTATACAAATCTACATGAGCAAAGGAAATCCAGAAGATAACTAGAGAAATGCATTTCTTGTCATAAATGCATGTGGATGCTAATAAGCTGAAAGATCGTCCTGAAAATGCCTGAAATCAATTGTTGAAACACCTGAAAGATGAGAGGAAATGGCTGAAGTTCTTTATTGAAATAGTTGAGAAGAAATAGCTGAAGTTCTTTGTTGAAATAGTTGAGAAGAAATGGCTGAAGTTTTTGCTGAATAATCTGAAGGATGAGAGGCAATAAAGTAGGAATTGCCTTGAAGAGCTGAACATTTTGATACCTGATTGGTTTTTCTAGCTGAAGGTATGCTGAACTTATTAAGATGTGAAAATAGCCCAAAACAAGTAGGTGAACAGATGGGGGGGACCAGCACTTTGAGCTCCCATTGACTTGTATTGCAAACAATACAATAGCCTGTATAGCTGAAAATATGCTGGCAAAACTTTCAAAATAAAGCTCAGTCAGGGCATTGAAAATGGGTCATGGTTGGGTATTCCAGTATGACAATGATCCAAAACACACGGCCAAGGCAACAAAGAATTGGCTCAAGAAGAAGCATATTAAGGCCATGGAGTGGCCTAGTCAGTCTCCAGAC